TTATAGTTGTGTATATTAATTTATTGGCAAGCTGCTGGCCTTTGGTTCATCAGTACGAAAACAATTGTTTTGCTTAAGAATTTTTTTATTTTATTACAATGAACCGTTACGCAGAGATGGTAACACTCGTCCAATTGCGATGCTAAATGACTGGCCAGACTCTGTCTGGTATGGAAGTAAAAGAGATGCGTGATCAGGTTCACAAAACACTCGGATCATTTTTTTCTCGACCACAGACCCATGGATTCTCGAGCTCTGATATTGTGCCTGGGTTTCCGCGCTTATCTCCCCTACAGATCTATTATGAGGTTACTATCTTTAGAAGATGGTCGTTTGTCCAAAGTACTACAAGCCTAAATGGCGGAAATTACTTAAACGACGTTAATATATATTGAAATCTATTCTCACTATAAAGCAAGATTTCACGAGGCATAAGAAATTCGTTTCGACTGCGCTTATTCAACAAAACGTTGAAAACGAGGAGGGACAGACACAAATAGCTATTAACACTTTGCCCAAAAAGAAAAAAAGAAAGAAAAAAAACTTTTCCAATAATTTTGCAATTAATTGAAATTAGTTAACAATAACATTCGAAATATGTTAAAATAAACATATAATCAACACTGGGCCGAAATTTTTGTAACCAAAACCGGCAAAGGATTTCTTGTAAAAACTTCAACGCTATAAATAAGAGGAGATCGTAAAAATCGTGAAAAAATTAAAAAACGTAGATAAAAATTTAAAAACTATTATTGACGTAGTTATTATTATTGTTATTATTATTATTAATAGCATTTTGGTTTTTTGTTTTTTGTATTTTGTTTTTTTTTTTTGGTTTTTTTTTTAGCTAAGAAAAAGAAGCAGCTATTAATAGTACTTTTTTGTGTAGTAAAACATGAGCTTTTATTTGTCTATTTTATTTTCTTCACAAGACTCGCAAGATGTTTCTGAAGTTAATGCATCATCGTAATGAATAAAGAAAGGAAGACGCGTCAAGTCAAAAGCATTAAAACTAAAATATTTGTAATAATAAAAATAAAGAATTAATTGCGCCAACGTCACGAAAATCTTCTAAACTTTGAAAATATTAAAAATGCATTAATACATTTTATAAAAGACAATTCGATAATATTTTAATCACTTCTTCTTTTTTTTTTTTTTTCTTGTTTTCTTTGTTTTCTTGTTATTATGTTGTCTGTTTCAGACAAACGTAGGCAGTCGTAAAATGTACAACAACTTAATCCAATGGATGAGAGCAAATCTTCCGAACGCATACACACAGAATAAAATTTATATTCGATCTTGCTAGACATTGGTGTTTTGGCATCTAGCTATAGCGACAGTGATCGATGAAGGCAACAAAGGTATAAAAAAATCTAAAACATCTTCAAATTTTGTTTTCTTAAATGCATTCCGTATAATATTTCTCTCGATTGAATTTTTTTCTTGAATTAATTTAAAGAAATACAAATAAAACCACTATAGTGGCCCATAGTCCACCAATACGTGCTGTACTCCTTTTAACTTAAAGTAACTTTTCACAATAAGGCGCTGTGTACGAGAAGGGGTCCAGGAGGTTGTCTGATCCAAACCAACAGACAGACAAGCTTAAATCGAGTCAGAAAGTGACTGATCCGTGAAATAAAAAGTGAATCTATCTGAAATCCTTCTTGGTGTTGCATACATCAGCATAAATTTAATATGCTCTTGCACCGTAGGAGGAATACGGTAGAATTAAATAAAAATTAATTTCAATTTGAAAAATTTGCAAATTACTTGTGATATCGCGACAACACGAACTGCAATCCGTCCCTCCATACATATTTGCCCTAGTTTTTCCCTTTAAACTTGTACGCCTGGTTTATAGCTACAACCCTTTACCATTTTATAGAGCTGTGAGGCACTTTTGACTTCAAACATTTTCTCTGCATTGTCCTCCTGTAATAACACCTTTTCTTTTTCTTATCACATATTTCGTTTGCTACGAAAAATTGTCCTCGTATCCCCAGCAGTATTAAGCTGTTGCTCCAAGTTCCACTTGGCAATCTATGCACGTATGCCTTTCATTATACAAAGCTTTACTGCAAATACATCGCTCGATAATTCTCAGAGCCTGCAGATAGAACTTGTCTCTAACAAATATTCTATCATGTTATTTTTAGAAACAACACCAACCCCCAAACAACTTCAAGCATACGTGATAGAATTTGATAACATTCCGATAATTTGTTTAGGAGCTACAGGATGTTTGCTACTTTACTATGACTCTACTTTTGTTATTCCTAAAGAAAGGAAAAGGTGCAAATTTTTATACGGAAAAATATCGTTTAAAGTCAACGCTTGCTTGAAACATGTTAGTGTAACTCTTGCTTCTATTGACATAGTTCTACTGATTTCGAACGCAACATACATTTAAATGAGAAAAGTTACAACGGAAAACATCAAAGCGGCTTTGAAAATCTTTCACGTGAAATAGCTGGAGACGTCTTCAGGACATGCTAAAGGTATCAAACAGTCGATGTATAGGGTCCTTTGCATGGAGCTATTTTTGAAATGAGCAACGTGTGTACTGAAAATGAAACACATGCCACCTTGCCGCAAGTCGATGCCTGCGATGGTAATGTAATTGCAATGGATTAACGATCGAATTGCTGGGACATCCACTGTATTTTTCAGGTAAGGCTTTTAAAGACGGATGCTCCCAACTGACAAGCATATTTCGGTTCATAGAAAATCTTTCGAATTGTCATAGAAGCTTGCAAAGAGCAGAAGCAATGCTCCAGGGATTAATGATCGGTCTATTGCATAAAATGAACTCTACTCATTGGGTAACTAATGATTTGTGTCACTTTCAATATGAATTCTTTCCAGCGAAGAAATCCTAGCCCGATTAATTATGCTAATCGCGACCGGCACGACTTAAAGGCGCTTACACCCTCATATCTTTAACAAGTTTATTACATTTTGCCAAATCTTATATCTGGTAAATTTGTTATTTTTTTTTTTTATCAGACAAGTAACGGTTCTTTTAATAACAATTTCTTCTCTTCAAAAAAATTTAAAGCTTGAATACTCAGAGCTTTATTGTAGCAATTGAAATGCATTTCTCTTTCGGCCTATTTTTCTTCTGTTTTTTTTTTTTTTTTCATATTTTGTTTAATTAAAAAATCTTTCGTTCAAACAGTTAGACGATTTTGACTACTTAGCAATTTCTTAATTTCTTTTCAGTTGTGATGTGAATTAAATCTTGACACAAATTAATCTCATAAATTTTATGTAGAAAATAAACACAAAATTTCCCCCTTTCTTCAGGTAACAACCGATGAGCGTTTTAAAAATTTATGAAAAGTGTGAAATAACTTAAGTAAAACTAATTGAAATTATCTTTTAAATACAAGAAGTCAAATTATTAATATATGTATATACGTATGTATGTATGTATGTATGTACTGTAGAAAAAATGGCACAAAGCCATCGTCCCTTGAATGGCAAGCAGCATGATTTACTCATTTTCGATTTTGAATTATTTTTTCAATTTATGCATCTACAACGAATCGCAAAGCCATTTTATTTACCGCTAATATCTCAATTATTAAAACTATGGGAAACATTCATGAGTTTTCTTTCATTCTCTTCAGTATACTGATGTTTTTATTTGCATAACGAAAAAGAAAAAAGGAAAAGTACAGGTTTTCATCATCCGAAAAAACGAAACGGTTGACTAATATAACAGTTTTTTTTAACTATGATTTTACAATGGTGCGAATTGATTACGAATATCACTGTACATTGCCGCCTATTTTTATATCCACTCTTGAAGGAGTGCACATATACAACATGTCCTTACGCATGCCACTTTCAGGCAGAAATGCGCTTCAAAGATGACATGAAATATGTGCGCAATCTTCATCACCTTAAGTTTCAAAATCAACTTGGCCATGTCCGTCCGCCCGTCCGTCCGTTCCTTTCTTGTTGAATTAAAGAATTGAAATCGTTCTCATGTTGATATTAATCTAAAGCTTGACGAAGTCATTGAACACAACTGTCTCGCACTGGGTGTTAAAAAATTCATAAAAGTTATGGGAAATGTTGAAGTAAAATCTTGATCATCCGAAAAGTTCAATCAATGAACTGACGCACTCACAATTTGCCAAATATTTTACAATTTTTACGTATCGGTCTAAGAAACGTTAAGTCAGAGACGAGAGAGAGAGAGAGAGAGAGAAGAAAAATATAACAACATTTTTTTTTCTTGCTCTTTATTGAATATTGTTCGCTCTTCATACTCTGTATCACTTGTGATACAATCGTGTATTCGATCTTTATACCCCACACAGTGGAACAGAGTGCGTTAAGTCTATTGAGAAGTATGCAGTGATAAAAAGCTCTTAATATATTTTCCTTTGACACATTTTTAGTTCTTAACGACTCGCCTTCGTATAGGCTAATCTGAAAAGGATCCCTGTCAGTTAGTTATCTTTATTTTTTTGATTTCTAAACTCAACTCAGTTAGTTTCCTAATCCATAATACAGCTGATATGCATGAGACATTAACTCCGAAAGGAATGCATTTTACCCTACAAGAAAGGATCGGGTTCACCTGTCTTACGCATTGCATTCAAGAGGAAGCAACGACATTTTAAAATCTTGCTTGGCTTGCTCTGAAGCTACCTTTAAAGTTACGACTCCTCATCGAGAATATATTTTTTTTGTTTTTTTTTTTTTTTTGAGTTGCAAACACAAAAAATGAATTTTATTAAATTACTTTTAGGGATGCAATGGTCAATAATAATAAAATAGAAATCAGTTGTCCAGCAACAAGGCTTCAATTTCGCTGAGGATATTTGATTGACATTTAGCTTTTGACTTTCAATTTTATGCTTGTTAGTTTTAATGCTGCTTAAAGAATAAAACATTAGTTACAAATTCCGTAACTAAATCCAAGATAATAAAAAGAATGTAAGACAAAAAAGATAAGAACAGTGGCAGCTCATACTTACTAATTGATTAACTTTAAAACATCATGAAATTGTTGGAATTTTTATTGAAAAATTGCTTAAGTTAAATCGTTCACTTGATGTACTTTTCTTTTTTTTTTTTTTTTTTTTTATTTTTTTCTTTTTTTATCTTTTCTTTTTTCTTTTCTTTATTCACAACCTTTTATATTCATTCGCTTATTGTATCTGCGCTAATTTACACTCACATCTACATACCCGCCAGCACTTTAATTAAATACATGTGTATACACACATATACAAATAATTAAATGATAAATTGTTGAAATAATTTTAATTGCTTAACGGCACTCATAGTACGTGTATGGATAGATGAGGTCTTACATATATAAATCTGTATATCTTGCGCACAGGAGATTTAATGAGATTTTTCGTTTTCCAAGCGTAACTTTCAACTATCAACACAATTTTCTTAGTTGTCGTTATTGTTACTTTATTGAGAGTATTTGTGTGTTATTTGTGTGCTTCAGAGATCGCTACAGCCAGCTAAGGAAAGCAATTCAGTTACTTGAACTCCTTCGCTTCGATTCTATTTGTCGTAATAATGTTCCTACAAGCTTACGCGATAAGTAACGATATCATGTATAAAATGTTGAATTTAATCACGCACACATACACTTCTATCCGCAATTAAAGTAAATTAATTATGAAATCGTTACACAAAGTAAACCAAAAATGTAACAAAAACACATTGATTGAACAAATTGATTTTTCAAAGCATCTTTAGAGGTTAAATTCTTTTTAAATAAAATTGCAAAAAAAATAAACAAAAACAAAAACAAACATCATATATATAAACTCTCTTAACCGCTCGTCCGTACAAAAAATAAATAATTTTGAATGATGTAAGCGACAATAATAAAATAATGTTTAACTAGTGGCCGTTCTCTGAGTAATATCACCGAGAGCTCAACAGTCACACGACATTTTTTTTTTTTTGCACTTGATTTGCAGAACTTGAAACTAATGTCGGAGCGTTTTTCTATGGCTAGAAGTAACAACAAAATTGATACAAAAAATCAAAGCAACTATGACAAAAACACGCACACACATCGTTTTGTTTTTTTGTTCAGTGATCGATCACAACACCACAACATGCCCCTAAATATAAAATCGAGATTAACGCTCAACCAGCACTGAGTAGGTTGAAGTGAATTTCTTGGGTTTAAACTGATTATAAGATATCTTAGCTATCATTGCTATCTTGTAGAAATTATTTATTTATTAAGTCTTAGGCGCTTTAACAAAACTTGCAAAATTAGTAGTTTTTAGAGAAATTACGTAAAGCATTTTACTGTTAACGCTTTAAGCCATTTAAGAAGCGACATTAAATAAGAAATCTGTTCGCGCTCGAAATGTTTTTAATAAATAATTATTTATTTATTTATTTTTTTAACTTTTATCATTTATTTATTTACAAATATTTCGCTGATAACGAGATTGCAAGATTGTGACTTAAAAAAACCAACTTGCGCAGACATTAAAATTTAGCTCTAGCTTAGAGTCCGTATTTTTAGCTTGGCTAATAAGTTTTATACTAAAGCTCACTCAGTGAATACTGAAATGCGACTGAGTCGGAGTTCAATAGAAAATTGAAAGCAGCTTTTAATTGAGAATGTAACGCGACCGCTTCAATCAAACACCAAATCATTCTAATGTGATTAGTTTCGATAACTAATCAAATTTGGATATTGAGTTAAAGACTTGATGACACGTTATTTTTATGGCTTTAGCGATTTCCAGGGGTATCCTAAAATCCAAACGTATAAAAAATCAACATTTCGATCGCGCGAACGTGTTCCTCTAATTTTATTAAACTTAACAACCACTCACTCCTATCCGTTTTTGTTCTTTCTTTTTATTATTATAGTTATTACAAGTCATTTAGACGAAAGAAATAAATTTCAAGTTTAACAATAGCATGAGCATTAGCAGCGAAGACCACACGGCTCTTGTTTTTATTAAATTTTCTTTAGAACTTTTCCTAAAGCGAAGGAAGATCTTGGGTTAAGATTAGGAACCTTTGGTCAAAGTTGATTCCAAAATGAATGCAAAAGTCTGAGACGTCCTATAAGCTAATTTCCAATCAGATATAATCAATCATTATTTATGGCTGATTTATGCGTTAAAGTAAATAAAAAATAATCTAAGCAGCGGGGAAGGTCAAGTACCTTCAGAAAGTTAATGCTTAAATACCAAATAAAAGACAAGAGGAAGTAGGTTTTATTAATCGGGGATTGAAAACTTACTGAAAAGGAATGGTTTGAAGGTATCTTTGGGCCTTTAGAGGTCAAAGATTGCAAAGCTGATCGAGAGAGAACTTAGACTAGACTAGCCTTTGAAATAAATATGGGCAGCTCGTCTCGCAATAAGCAGGAGAGTGCAACCAGGGCTTCACGAAATAAATAATCATTTAGCCACGAACTGAATAAACCTTTAATCACGAAATATTGTTGCTTCACTCTTTCCGCCAACTATTTATTAGCCGATTGAAAGGAAATTTGCAATCATTACCGAAAGTTCAAATCCGTTTTAACTTTGCTCTAAAAATGGTGCTAAATGAGTTCACAATAACTTAAAAGCGAAAATCATTTGAGAAACCCGTAAATAATTCATTTTATGCATTTATATCCAGAACGCACGACTGAAAGCGGGAATCAATTTGAAAGAAGAGAAAAAAAAAAACGATCAGGAGTTGATGAATCTATATAAAATTCTGTCAAATTCTGCTATGTACTACCAGATAACAACACTCATGCAATTGCTCTGAGTGATCTATGGGGTAATATTGGCCCCAAGTGCTAAGTTTGCGTTTTACGATTTATTTTTATATATATATCTCGCATTTTTCTTTAAAAACAAAAGACTTTGCTATTTTTACTACGAGTACTAAATTTGTTTATTTAATTTGGATTCAGTATACTTTGATTTTATAAGCAAATAAGAGCAAATAGAAAAAGATAATAAACAAAAAAAAAAACAAAATTTTTTTTCAAAATAAAACCATAAAAACTTTAATTAGTGAAAAGATAGCTGGAATCGATGATAAATTTGGCGAAATTTTTATTGCAAACGCCGTCGATTGTAACAAACGCGGAGTAAAACTTTCCATAAAGTACTTTCGCTTTTTCTTTTTCCATTCGGCTATTTATAGATTAATGGCTTCTCCAGTTGTTATAAAATGCTAGAAACTAATTTATTATCGAAAAGTGGCAGTGAAGTGTTTCGCTGGATTTCGATTTAACATTTGCTTTTAAATCAAATTTTGCAAATCTACAAAAACAACTATAATCAAATCATGCACACTTAACATATACATACGGCTTGGAATTGTTGACGAGAAATTTTTTGGTGAGAATTCTTTCTGCAATTAATTTGTAATTAACATAAAAGAATCTATGCAAATTTTCAAAGTTTTCTTCAAACAAAATTCGCTTAGTGCACAAGTTAAGAAGAAACGAGGGTAAAGAAAGCCATTTGTCGAGAGCCTCGATTGTTTGTCCATTATATGAGATTTTACTTTTCATTTATAATAATTTTTAAAATCTGTCTTCAGTTGCCATTTACTTAGTTTTTTAATGAAAAATTACCGATGCTGTTGTTTTTTGTGTTTTTTTTTTTTTTTGAATTAAGAAAATACTATTTTTCTAAAGCTATTCTCCTAACGAGTGTAATTTACAAGTTTGTTTTCTAAGTCTTTTGTTATAAGCAGATGAAGAAGAAAAAAAAAAATAATATTCATAACATGTTGTTTATGGTGTTGCTATTGCTTTTTCTCTATAATTTATTAACGGGACTTTTACTGCATTCTCTTGCCGTGTGCCATAGTGTTTTTATCTTTTGCATATGCAATCAAAAAAAAATTATTGGTCGCCACTATTAAACAGGAGGTGGTCCTACAATCTACAGCTTTCAGGTGAGCGTTACGTGTATGTGTTTTTTGAGAGAGTTTACAAATAAATGGAAAAATTCATTTAATTTCATTTCATTGATTTTGATAATATTTCACGTATATGCATTTATAGGTATTCGCATATTTTTGTGTAATCAATGTATACAAATGCATAAATTCACTTTCGACTGTTAAACAAACCGCATAGCACTTGGACGATGAGGAAAATTTATTATTTGTTAAAACACACACTCATAGGAATATATACATATATACATATATATATATATATATATATATATATATATAAATATGAATAAATTGGCAAATAAACAGCAAATAAAAAATAAATGCAAAAATTCCGTTTCATATGTGAAATTTTTCGTTTTAAGATTTCGTACACCGTTCAGAATGCATTTCATTTACACTATGCATGCAAGTGCATAACGAAAACGCGAAAACGTTGGTAACGTACAAACAAAAAAACAAAAAAAAAAAAGAAGAAGAAAAATATGGTAAATTGAAATTAACATTCGCACGTAATGCGCGCAACTGCAGAAAAGCAAACAGTCCCGTAAGAAAGCCGTTTAGAAACTGCAAGAGGATATGTTAACAACAAAGCACATGCGCGCATGTGCCAACCACAGGCAAACAAACAAACGAGCAGCTAAACAACTAGCCAAGTAAACAGGCAAATTCCAACGCAGTCGACTGCAATTACCGGTGCAACTGCAACGTAAACATATATATATATATATATATATATACATATAAATATAAATATATATAAAGATTGGAATTATATACAAATGCAAACCACAAATGCAATTGCAACAACCGCAGCAATGCACAACACTACGTCTGTACGGTAACGTAATCATCATGGTCATCATGATGATCATCGCTACTATCAAGCAACAACGACAACAGCTTTAGAGTAATGAAATAAAAACATCTCACAACAATAAAGCTTTAAGCTATGACTGGCTGACTCTAAAGCGCGCACACACACACACACACACAAACCTATGCGAAACGATAATAGAGACCGTACCTAAGCAAAGCGCACATAGGTAAGCAGCGAAGCCAACAATACCAACAGTATCAGTGTTCATAAAATTGCTGCTTTGCCACTTCAGCCGAAAGGCAAAAGGAAAACACACACACGCGAGCGAACAAACAGAAGAAGAAGAAGAAGAAGAAAGAAAAATGATAAATAGCAACAACCTCTCAAAGACCGACTGACCGAGTAATACAGTGCAAAGAGTACTCAAGCCATACAATAAGCACTAACAACCATATTAAACGGGGAGAAACACCAGACTTGCACGTTATTAAAAGCCGCTAAGTAAAAACAAAAATCATTGCACAAGAAAAGAAACAGAACCAGAAAGCGAGCATAAAAAACATATATCTATATAAAAAAATGAAAAGAAAAACTTCAAGTCAAATATAACTGCAATACGAGCGAACGAAAACGTACACAACAACAACAACTATGGCAAGAGAGAGAGAGAGAGAGAGAGAGAGCAGGTTTTGTTTTTTACGGACTCTATCTCAGAGAGTGCAAGCGAAGATTGGAAAAAATCGTGTTTATCGTGGATTTTTTCCATTAAGAGTCTGGCCAAGATTTACTGTTACGTGCTCTTGCTTTACGGTTTCTTTCCAATCGCTCTCAACGCACTTCCATTGCATGCATGTTTAGCTTTTTTTCACAATTTTCTGTTCATTTGTCTGCTTTTCTTTTTAGCCAATCAAAATAGTCTAAACGTTTTGGATAAGCAATTCAG